GGACTGGGCCCTCATTGACCTATCTCCTCATTATAGTTACATAGTAAACTTGCATTATTTTTCATCTTTTAAATTTTAAAATAGTCAGTGTTCAAAGTGATCTAGAATGACCATTTCCATGACTGAACAAAATACCCACTTCAAACATCAATTGCTGTCATTTAAATGATAGCTAGAAGTCATATATAGCTCTCTAACACTTCCCATGTGTTATCACCTTTGATCCTAACCACAACCCTAGGAGGCAAGTGCTATTATTGTCCCCGTTTTGTACTAATGAGGAAATTCAGGTAAAGAGAGGTTATGTGACTTGCCCAGGGTCACACTGCAAGTAAGGGTCCTAGGCAGAATTTGAATTGGAGTCCAGTCTAACATTCTATCCACTGCGCTCCTTAGTATAGATGGCAACTTCTGGTTATATCACCTTACAGAGCCAGAGCAGTGCGTTATGATGGGAAGAAAATTGACTCTGGAGTCCAAAGACCAGCATTCAAATTCCCTCTCCAATGACATAACCTCCCTGAGCCTCAGTTTCCTCATTTGTAAAGTGAAGAGGTTAGACTAGATGGACTCTGGGTCTATTCCATCTCTGTATGAATAGGAAATAAAGAAAAATGAACTGCAAGACCAAAGATGCTTTTTTTCTGGCTTCACCTCTGATGAGTGATGCAAGCTTGGGTATGTTGACAAACCTCTTTACCCCTCATGGTCATCATTTGCAAACTGCCTCAGAGGAATATGAAGGATTGCTACAGACCTGAAGAGATGATTCTATCCAGAGACCTTGGAAGCAATTATAACAGATTGGAGGCTAGCACGCAGAGCAGTTATGAAGCTGTGTCTCTATGGACAGTGATAGCAGGCTCAAAAGGGCTGAGTCATCCCTCCGCCAAGCCCTCCACCAAAAAGGGGAGTGGGGTGTAGACTTACCTTTCATTCATTTAAATTTTGTATTAGGAAGATTCTTCATTAAAGTCCTATTCTGATGCCTCTGGTTCCCAAAGCTATGCCAATGGAGTATAAGCTCTGGCAGATCTTACAAAGCTGGGAAGATATTGAATTTAAGCCAGACAATGGATTGTAGACCTGGCATTGTTGAGGTGTGGGGGTGGGCAAGGCCACTGTGGGCAAAAGTACTCATGAGCAGAATTTTGGCTACCACCCACCCCCAACAAAGAAACTCATGAAAAAGAGATAAAAACGTAAAATGTGCCCATGGCCTTTGCAGTCCCCTTGCCTCCTTCTGCAATAATGTGGCAGAAGATAATTCAGAAGAAGCTGAAGAGGAAGAGGATACTTAGAAGAATCACACAATTTCATGTCTTCAAACAGTCACATTTAATTATTGGTTCTCTCACCGTTCAATTTCTGTTCTGTGACCAGTGAATAGATCTACTCCTCAAAAAGTGGCTTTATTGGGGCAGCTAGGTGACACAGGGGATAGAGCACCAGCCCTGGAGTCGGGAGGACCTGAGTTCAAATCCATCCTCAGACCCTGGACAAGTCACTTAACCCCTACTGTCTAAATTTTAAAAAAAAAAAGCTATAATCCCTGCCTTCCTACTTACTATCTCTGTGACTTTAGGTTTAACTTGTCTGGGTCTCAATTTTCTTACCTGTAAAGTGAGGAAATTATACTAAACGCCTTCTGAAGCCCCTGGCCATTCTAAATCTATTTGCCTATGATCCTATTAGGCCTCCAGAAGGATGAATTGGTTTTCTGTGGAGTGTTTATGGGAAACAAGATGTAAAGGTATGGAGGGACTGTGATGTGCATCAATAGAAGAAATGTCCACACCAATAAAATTAGAAATTTTTTTTTGTTTTTGCTAGGCAATGGGGTTAAGTGACTTGCCCAGGGTCACACAGCTAGTATCAAGTGTCTGAGACTGGATTTGCACTCAGGTCCTCCTGACCTCAGGGCTGGTGCTGTACCCACTTTGCCACCTAGCTGCCCCAGAAATTTTTAAAATATGTAAAAGTAACAAGAGGCCAGTAGAGGGCAAGAAAGAAAATAAGTGCTTCTTAATGGGGAAAAAAAGTTTCTTTTTTTTTTTAAAAGACTTCCTCTGTAGAGTCAGTTTTCCAAGACAGGTTAAGATTTTTTTCTTTTCTTTTCTTTTTCTTTTTTTCTTTCTTTTTTTTTTGCTGCTGATTTTACTCTGCAGACATTTCAGATGCTGTGCATTTGAGCTGACTAAAAAATGGCTAGTGTGTGAATAATGCTTTAAGGTTTGCAAAGTGCTTTACATATATCATTTCATTTGATCATCACAATGATCCCATAAGGTAGGTGTTTGCAGATGAGGAAACTGAGGCACCTGGAGGTTAAGTGATTTGTCCAAAGTCATACATCTAGTGAGGAAGTGTTGGAACTCAGGTCTTCTGGACTCCAAATCCAGTGCTCCATTCACTGCACCATTGTTACAAAATATTTTTAAAATATTTTTTTACATTTTTTGCCACTATGGGCAAAAGGACTTATGAGTGGAATTTTGGCTACCATCCATTCCCCCAAACCCAATTTTTAAAATATGTATATATTTTTAAAAATAAAAATGTTCAATTGTTAGACTATGGGGAAATGTGGCTTTGTATCAATTTATTGGTTTCTAAAGGGCTATTTAAATACAAATAATAGTACACATTGTAAACTGGTGTAGCAGGTTCTGCTACCGCTACCTAGCTCACCTGTTACATGATACCTGAACTCAGATGTCAGAGTCTTAAGCTGAGATGTAACAGCACTGGGTTTGTGCCAGATCTGAGCCTCCCAGCTTCAAGGGGCTCCTGTCTGAGGACTGCATGAAGGCAGCAGGACAAAGAGAAAATGGCAGAGGTATGAGAAAAGAAAGGGAGGGATAAAACATTTGCCTTTGATATTACATTTCTGCCACTCTGTAAATGACTTAGAACATAAGAAAAGAGACGTGATAAAAAGAAGATTGAAGCAAGAAGGTACAGGAAAGGAGTAAAGGACTAACAGACATTTTCTTAGATTTCCAGGCCAAGGAATAAGTACAGAAAGGCTCTACTTCCAGAAAGCTGTTCTTCAGATGATGCATTTTTTTGACCATGTAGCAAGACACGGAAGGGTTGCTACATTAGCGGAGGTAGTAAGCACATCATTGAATACAAAGATCTTCTAAAGTATCAAAGAGGAATCGATATAATTTTTAAAATGACAATTTTACCTAATTTATTTATGCAATGCCATCTCAATTAAATTACTAAAAATTATTTTACTGAGTTAGAAAAATAATAACAAAGTTCATTTGGAAGAACAAGAGGTCAGGAATCTCAAAGAAATTAGGGAAAAAATATGTGAAGGAAGGAGATTCAATAGCATCAGACCTTAAACTATATTATAAGGTGAAGAGCATTGTTGAAATGTAAAATGGATAATTTCAATTATTTTAAACTAAAAATGTCTTGTATAGAGGCAGCTAGGTGGTGCAGTACAGTGGATAAGGCTCCAGTCTTGGAGTTAGGAGGACCTGGCTCCAGCTCACTTGACACTTGACACTTACTAGCAGTGTGACTCTAGGCAAGTCACTTAACCCCGATTGCCTCACCAAAAAGCAACAAAAAAAAAATTCTTGTATAGATAAAGCCAACATAGAAGGAATGAAGAAAATTGGGGCGTGCGGGGGAACTTCCGAAGACAATCTCTCAGATAGGATGTAATTGTGTTGGAATTATGCTATGGTGTAAGAAATAATGAGCTGATTGATTTAGAAAAACATGGAAAGACTTGGACTTGTGAAGGAAGATGCTATCCACCTTGATGACAAGTGGAAATATGCAAAGCACGGTTTTACATATATGTGTATGAGTGCATATGTATATGTTTATAGATATCTATGTATATGTATGTATGTATACTCATTTAATTGTACCTTTCTTTAGGGAGGGGGGAGGAAGGGAAGGAGAAAAAATAAAGTAAAAAGTGCACAGAAGAAAACAAAAGAAAACATAGAAGGCAGCAAAGAAAAGCTGAGTAGGTTTGAAAACAATATGTAGTATTCATTATATAGCTTTTCTTGAAATAGAAATGTATTGTTTTATATTGAATCCTCTCATGTTCTGCTGTCTATATTAAAATGTTCTTTTTTTCTTTTCTCATTTTGTAATTAAGTTTAAGATGAATAAAAATTTACCAAGAAAAAGAAAAAAAGGGGAATGAGTAGTTATGTGATCCAAATCAAATGACAAACATGTTTAATACACAAACACTTATATTAAACCATATGAAGTCACACAAATGATCTTTATAAACAAATGTGTTCAACACATTCATGTAGAAGTAAAATATATCTTCCAGAGTATACTGCAAGCATTGTGAAATAAATTGAAAGAGCTGGGTTCAAATCCTACCTCTGCTACATGATACCCTTTTGACTTGGGCCAATCATTTCAGTTTTCTGAGATTCCATTTCCTCATACAGAAATTGAGGGTGGAAGCGGCTGGTATAGTGGAAAGCACTGGGTCTGAAGGATGTGAATTCAAATCCTGTCTTTGATTCTCATCTGTTTAATGTTGGGCAATTCATCTAACCTCAGATTCCTTTCTTATTTGTAAATGAAAGGACTGGACCAGTCTCTGAGGTTTATTCAAAACTTAAAACTGCATTAAGCCTTAGGATACTGTGTGTGTGGTTCTATGACCTTTAAGGTCCATTTCAGATCTAAATCTATCATTCTATACTTTTGAGATCCAGAATCTGCCATTTTGTTTCTCAAGGTACTGTTTCATCATTCTTCTCCTCACCATTCCTTCATTCTATTACTGGCTGGAATAACAGCTTGAAATAATAGCAAAACTATATTTCCTTCCAACAGTAGGGAAGGCAGCATAATACAGGAGAAAGAATAACAAGCATTTATTAAGTGCTTACTAGGCAGCTAGATGGTTCAGTGGATAGAGAACTGGGCCTGGCGTCAGGAAGACGAGTTCATATCAGACCTCAGACACTTAATAGCAGTGTGAGTCTGGGCAAGTCACTTAACCTCTATTTGCCTTAATCCACTGCAGAAGGAAATGGCAAACCATTCCAGTATCTTTGCGATGAAAACTTCATGGCATTGTCCTGTTATGGTCCATGCAGTCACGAAAAGTCAGCCACAACTGAACACAACACTATGAAGACCACCGGGCTAGTAGTCGGGAGACCTGGGATCTAGTAACCTTTAACTAGCTGTGTGATCTTGGACAAGTTCCTAAATTTCTCTGGACTTTAGTTTCATTCATTGTAAACTGAGAGGATTGAGCTTTAGGTTTCCTTACAGGCTTTTTTTTTTTACCCTATGATTCTCATTCAGAATAATACATAATTTGTAAAGTGATGGCACTATATTTTTAGATCCTGTTCCCCCACCACCACCTTTTTAAGGGGGAGATGTTATACTAACAGCATTTACTAACAGATTTTGTAATACAGTATGTTCCCACAACCTGCTTTAGTTATTAATAACAGCAACAACAATATCCCTGGGGACTGAAAGTGGGGTTCATATGCCGGGTAGGGAGAGGACATTCCCAAAAGTGAAGTTTCGGAGACAGGCGAAGCCCAAGGAGTTCCGATCACGGTGCAGGCAGTGCCTCCTGGTGTCAGAGAGCAGTTAGGTCAGTGAAATCAGGATACCCTCCCCCCGAGCTCATCTGGGCACCCAGCGGAATTTGTAGCCTCCGCTGGAGGTCCGTATAGTAAAGGCGTTGCCTTGGGGGAACGCCAGAGTGCGGATAGTGCAGTGGTCCCGAATCGGGGTGCTGAAGGAGCCGCCGTCCTCCAGCTCGCTATGGCTCAGGTTCAGGGATCCCTGGCTGCAGTCCGCCTGCAGCCCGCGGAAGGCCCCGTGCAGGGGCGCCGGCGGCGGAGAGGCAGTGCCTGGGGCCCCGGGCTGCAGCCGAGGCCGCTTGGTGTCCCGGCTCTGTAGAGCCGCATCGCATTGCTCCGAGATTTCCCTCAGGATCGCGTCCACTTCGGCGCTGTCCTGGCCGCTGACAGTGAGCAGCTCCTCCAGGCTCCTCTTAGCAGAGGCTTTGAGCAGGAAGGGTTCCGGAGCAGCCCTGCAGTCCTGGGCCTGGGTGATCATCAGCTTCTGTGGTTGTAGGGAAAAGAAAATGGTGTGTTGAAGGGAGTTCAGTCTAGTCTGGCCAACAGGCTTCAAGGGCAGCTCAGTTAATGCGAGTCGTGCATGTATAAATGAGGACTGAGAGCAGAATGCGCAGTCCTGCGGAGGGCAGCAGGGACTACTGACAATCTCCTCAACCATCCTTTCCAAGGAAAAAAATGGTGGACATCTTCAGAGGAGCTACTGTCCAGTAGCCAGGGGTAGTGTGAGGCTCAAATGAGATTATGGTGTAAAGCACTTTGTAAACCTTAAAGCGCTATATAAGTGCCAGCTATTGTTATCATTATCAGCCTCCAGTCACCAGGCCTCTAGTTTGGCGATGACTTCATTCCTAGAGCCTTCTGCTGCACCCCTGCTGAGCTCAAGCAATGTTTATAGAGCAATACAGGGGTGTGCCGTGTGCCGATAAATGTTTAACAAAGGGGTGGGGTATATGTACTGACAATTTTAAGTTTAATCTACATTACTGACGCTTCTTAAGTCTAGACAATCAAAAAGACAATGAATTAAGCCCTAATTTTGTATAGATTGCTGATTCCTGGGGTATAAATGCTCACTTTGAAATTGTAGTCATCTCTTGAAAGCCGGTTAGAGCTGGCACCAGAATATCCTTTGGTGAACATTGTGCTGCGTTCCTATTACCGGGCAGCTCGCCTACATAGTGCTCTCGATCACTTTTCTTAAACCCCAGGCCTCCTCACACTTACATCAAGGACAGAAGCCAGGTGTCGAGTCCGGCTGGCCAGCTCCTTCAGCTGAATGTTCCTTTCTTTCAAGGACGCAATCTCCTCCTGCTTCTGGGTCAGTGTCACGTGCAGCTGCCAGGTTTTTTTTGGGGGGGGAGAGGGAAGCACAAAGAGGATTGTATGATAATCACAGGTACATCATACTTGCCTGAGTGGACACTGGGAAGCCAATAGACCCATATTAGAAGATACTGGGAATTGGATTCTGAGGATTCTGTTCCCACTCGTCACCATTCTGTTTTCTCATGTGTATAGTATGGGATACTTCAACATCCAATTTTAACATCCCATGCATGATTTAGATTTTTTTTATGCATATTCTGTTCAATCTCTAAAACAATATTGCATATAATACATAGGAAAACGCAAGAAAATCAAGTGGGGTAATATCGGACTGAAAGACATGAGTTCAAATACTACCTGAAATATACAGGATGTGACAAAAGTCTTAGTGCAATTTAAAGCTTTAATAATTTAATGACTTAACCTATTAAAACTGCACCAGGGCTTTGGAGATACCTAGAATACTGGCTGTGTGACCATGGGCAAATCACTCAAACTCTGAGAGCTTCAGCCATCTCTTTCAGATTATAAATTACAGGTGTGCTGCTGATTTACAAAGGTGGAAGTGGTTTACACACAGGAAGTTTCCTATACCAATGAAATCACCAGTGTGGACCAAAAGAAGAAAAAAAAATAAACAAACAGGTACACAACTCACAAGAGCATTTACATGCCAATGCATGGTTAAGACCAGGGTAAGTCTGCACTATCTCCAACCAACAATTAAACAGAATTTGGACTTCATAGCTAGCTGGGGCTTGGAAGAATTGAGAAAGACAGGAACTATTCAAACTATTAAGGCACTTCGCGGGGTGGGGAAAGAAGTTTCAAATCGCACCAGTTATCTTCCAGAGTCCTGAAAAGGATTTGGGGAGGATACCACTACCTCTGGATTGGTTACTCCATTCCCACCCCCAAGCTCTGGTGTCCCTACTTGATTATTTTCTACCAGGGCATCTCCCAAGGCTTTCTGGTTCTGGTCGGCCACTTCCTTCCAGTACTGCTCCGGATGAGGAACACCCTGAATGCTCATGTGAGGCACAGGGTGCTCCGGCTGGGGAGAAATGCAGGAACCAAAGGGAGAGACTTCACAGGAAGGGAAGGAAAAGTCTTCAGGACCCATTGGAGATGACATCAAAGATGATGGGTCTGTGGAATAGCAGACGATGTCATTAAGTGTCACTGACTATGCCAGTACAAAAAATTACCATAGATTTCTGGTTAAAATCTCCGAAAAGATACCATATTTAGAGAACCTTTCACCCCTCCCCAAACTCCAACCAGTCTATCCCTCACTGAAACTGGCGAACCAATTAGAGAATCATCCCCTGTTCCAGTGTCCATCAATGGAGATTCTGTGACTTTTCCCTCCCCAAAATGGATAGGAGGGAAATGATCCCCCTTTGATTCTGAGACAGTTAATAACAATCACTTATATTTACACAGCGTTTTAAGGTTTGCATAGGTTTCACACATCTTATCTCTTTTGGTACTCTAGCCTCCTTGTGAAGTTTAAGCAGGGCAAGCGTTATTGAAGATGAAGAAATCGAGGCTCAGAGGCCTTGCCCTAGGTCACGAGGCTGAGACTATATAAAGTAACCCTAATGTACATTTCTTTCTCCTTCTCAGACCCGAGACCTCTCCTTCTCACCCTTATCGCACCTTCCTCAGTGAATTGCATAACAACGCCTAAATGCTGAGCCCTTTCGATGCAGCAAGTGCAAAAGTCGCAACAATTCGTCTCCTCGTTTTGGAAGTGGTAGAGGGGGTGTTGGGGTTAAACGAGGTTAAAAAAAATAGCTATTTTTCTTTTCAACCGTCACTTCATATTCTGGGTTACCAATTAGTGTTTGAAAGTTTTCTCCTCTTGCCAGAATCAGACATGAAATTACCCAACTGAGGAAATAAGCAATACACGGGCTGCGCCACTGATTGGATGGTGGGCATAGAAGGGAAATCCCTGTTGCCGGAGCCCTGCTTAAACCATCCTTCAACTGCAAAAACCACACTTGCCTGATATGAGATTGTCCACTGCATCCCTGAAATCCTGCAGATCAAACTGTGGCTCGGTTTGTGAACAGTGGCTCTGAAACAAAGCAGAAACAGCACTGAGCTTAATTAGATCATTCTAATCTCGCCAGTTGCTCTTTGGCCAGTCCTAATTATAAATATCTGGCTTCTCCTGCGCCCTGTGGCAAGTTCGTACCCACACACACACACACACACACACACACACACACACACAGAGTCACTCATACCTGAAAATCCAAGCCCCATCCTGAACGTTGCAAATAGCAGGCTTGCATTACAATGAGTGCGGAGTATATAAGGGATGCAGGGGCAAATGTTCTTATTCCGAAAGTTTAAGCTGGAGATGACTGGTCACGGAGGCACAGCTACTAGGCTTCCTACACAGGTCCCGAAGGCTGAGGTCCGAGCAGGTGTGGGGCTGTCTCCTGGCTGGACACCTCTGAATGGCACGCGATGCGCCGGAGCCTCTGGAGGACCTCTTGGCCTCTGCTGCCGCTTTATTGGCCAGCCACACGAGCCAACCACCGTCCTCCGTCAGGGCGCCGCGCATTCCTCGGGGGCCACTGAAACATTAACTAGAACTTGACCGCCTAGCAGACGTGCCCGCGGAAGCTGGATGAGGGCAAACACGCGCAGCCTCGGGAGCCCCTCGTGGCCTCCTGAACCCTTTGCAGAGACGGTCGGCCAAATCACGCATCAGTCCGGGGTCAACATGAGGTCCGGGTGAAGCAGTGTTCTGTTCTCTTTGTACCAAACAATGTGGTTACCGCACAAACCACAGGAATAGTGGCTCCCGTCCAGACTATGTGCTGAGATTAAGCGGTGATTTTACAGAGAAAGGGCGGCAAACACTGTTTTGAGGGGTGCAGGCGGTCTAGTCCGCTCTAATTGTTGCACTGCACTCTGCTCAATTCACAGATTCCAGGAGAAGCTAGTGCTGTAGAATCAGTGTGGTTTAATGTAAAGAATTCCGAATTTTTACTTCAGAGACCCCGGGTTAGAGATCGGGGTTCGAGACTCTGACACTTACTGACAGAGCCCTGAAGCAAGTCACTTGCCCTCTCTTGGATTCTGTTTCTTCTACTGCAGAAGAGAGGAGGCTAAACTACATAAGAGATTAAGCAGAGGTCTGTTAATTTTTTTTAAAAAAATTGTTTTGGATAAACTACTTCAAGATAGTTTAAAATACATAGGAGTCTACGTATTTTATTTTACGTATTTATATTACGTACATTGTTCTGCCAGAAGGGTCCGTAACACACAAAAAAGATTAAGAACACCCCCTGGACTGGAGGATTTCAAAGATCCCTTCCAGCCCCAAGTCTGAGTCTATAATATGGAGAATCGAGGAAATGCAGTAGTAAAAACACTAGTTTGGATGTTAAAGAACCTGGGCTTGAGTCCAAACTCCTCCACTTACCAGCCTAGCCTGTACAGGGACAATTATTTTCTCTAATTTCCAGTTCCCTCATGTGTAAACTATATTTGCACTCTATGCTCTCAGGATATGGAAATGTGAGTTGCTATTTTTATAAATATAGTACACTTCCTAGCAGCCTGAAAATATTAATATGCCTCTCCAAATTCCTCATTTTCAGGAAAGAGCCAAAGCATATCAGTCACTGGGAAAGAGAATTCACTGATTCTCGAAAAGTCGACTGGATACATATGTAAAGGATGGGCAGAAGGAAAGGTAGTAGGGGTATAGTGCAATGTGGAATACTCATCTTTTTTGGTTTTGTTTTTTATTTTTTACAGAAAGAATATAGTTGAAGACAGAGCCTTCCTTTCCAGTAGGTAGAGGGAACATTCATCAGGGGTGTGATATGTGTGTCCAAAGGTCTGGTTCAGACTTATATCACCACCATCACCCACCCCAACTGTTTTGCACAAAATTCTACCATTAACCATTTACTGTCCCTTCTCTGCAGGTCTTTTTTGAAAATGCAACAACTCCTGGAACATTATCATATTAATCCCTTAACATCTTAATGCATATGGATTTATTAGATTACTTTCCTCAAAATGGACTAGATGGTCTAGGCAGCCATAGTGAGAGTACTTTGTACCTGGAAGAAAGAACAGCTAAAAGTGTGTATTGTGCAAGCATGTGTGTAGAGAGGCAGGACTGGGGAAAGATGTGGGCAACAAAGACAAAAGTTGGTACACTTCTGAATTTTGCTTAGGGTCAGTCCTTCTTTAAAGGGTCAAGTTTCTAACTGTTTGAGAATATGCCAAGATAGCAATAAGAGATGTTTGTGTGGTCTATCCACACCTTGTCAACTGAACCACTACCACCACCACCACCACCACCACCACTACCCATGTGTTACCAGTGGCCAGAGACTTTGAGCCTTCAGATACTTAGGTATCAATAACTTTATAGCATGTTTTAAAAAGTGCATTTATTAAAAGAAACAGTTAAAAGTATTTTACCTTCTCCTACCCTGTTATGTCAGGTGACTGTCTACCTTGCTCATCACTAAGTCCCAGCCCTTCACCAGGGTATTCTCCTTTGTAAAAGCAGTTAGATGGCATAATAGATAAATCAATGGACATAGAATCAGGAAGAACTGAGTTTAAATCCTGCCTCAAACACTTATAAGCTCTGTGACCCTGGGCAAGTCATTTACCTTCTCTGAGCCTCAGTTTCCTTTGTAAAGTTTCATCTGTAAAATGAGGATATTGGACTTGATGGCCCTTAAGCCATAAGTCCTATGTGTGGTCCTATTATTCCCTCCTCTGAAACACAGAGAAAGAAGGCCTGGCTCAGCATCCTGGGTGGCCACCAATGCTTCAATTTAATCACAGTATTTGTTTTATAGAACTATAAAATGCTCTGGATCTGGAAGGGACCTTAGAATTTGATCCATTTTATAGGGGAGGAAACTGAAGGCCTAGCACATAGTAGGTACTTAATAAATGTTGTTGATTGATTGAACAGTAACTCCAAGGAATGAATTAGTGTAAACATAGGCCCTGACCAGACCTCTTTTCTGCTTCATCTTGTCTGACTTCGGAGTCCAGAGGAGGGTAGGGTCCAGTTCTAAGTAGCTTAGTTAGCTTAGTAGTTCAACATTAGGGAAGTGGCCTGCTGGGAGCTAGCTGGTGGGTGCACAAAACTAGTAAGTACAGAGACAGGATTCCAACCCAGGTCTCCTGACTCCAAGTCCAGTGTTTTGTTTTGTTTTGTTTTGTTTTTCTAGTGATGACTTTTCCTTCCCCTTAAGTAAAAATATGGTGTTTCTTTCTCCTCTAAAGAAAAAATAAGATATTCCATGATAATGACAAATTAAAATTCTGTATACCCTCAGCAAAAATTTCCAAAATAACCTTTCTATATTAATTGTAAAATGAATGGATGAGAGGAGCTTTCCTTTGGGATTCCCCTTTAATTCAAAAGCCACTTGAACAATATTTACCTGTGCATTTTGAGGGACTGTATGTCCTTTGGTGGGACCCTCATTAAGGCCTTGCAGTGCAGCCATACTCATGCATACTCTCTACCCAAGAAAAGTTACTGGTAGCACCTCTACAGAGCCTTTACCATCTCTTCAGTCTGTTGAAACCATTTCGTACAATCCAGGACTCACTATAGAGCCCTGGCCCACAGTTACCTTTCTTCTTTCTGGAAATCTGAAGCAGCTTGTATGAGGGGATTACTGAACTTGTGACCCAGAGCTATTTCTATTTGGTTTAGGTGAGCTAAAGACATTAGACCTCTTTTCTTCAAGGAGATGGGCTGCTAACTCAGGTGGAGGTTAGTGGGTTCTGCATTCTTACTGAAAGGTTTTTGCTGGTCTCCATGGAGCCAGCTAGGGAAGCTGGAATTTGAATTGTCTCTGTGAACCTCATTTGTCAAAGATTCCAGATTTCTAAGAGCAAATCCTTCCATCCACCATCACACCCCAGGTTTTGAGCCTCAGAAACATAGACTATTGCCCTAAGTCACAAAGCGGTGACTCTATAAAATAACCCTAAATGCACACTTTCTTTCTCCCCCTCAGACCCACATCTCAGCCTTATCCCACCTCTCTCGATGAGGCTCATCCCCATCCCAAGTGAAAGATAGCCCAGCATCATTGCAGCAGGAAAGGAATTAGATTCAGCATGGATGGGGGAAGAGAAAGATCACATTTCCCCTTCTTCTACTTCCAAATCCATGTCCAAAAAATATTTACACACTTCCTCTTCCCACCACTAGTCTAAAAGGTAGGTGGTGAAAATTTGGAAATCCTCCTTTTCCTCTCTGAAAGCCCTGATCTATGCTGCTCTCAACAGCCCCGAGGAAAGCTGAGGTCCTAACATACTAGAAGGAGCCAAAGTGGAGGAAGATAAAAGAGCAGATGGAGAGGGTTTTTTAATTAATTTGCCATTGCAGTTAGTTTCTATCCTTCGCCCAGCCAAAACTCCAGCACCTTCGGAGAACCAGAAGTCAGCCCCAGGCGGGGGCGCCTACAGCCTTAGTTTGTTTGCTACGAGCAAGAGCCCTTTACGTTCTCAGCTCTTTGCCCAGTGCCTGGCACAGAGCAGACGCTCAATAAATGAATCGTGGAATGTAGTTGAATTAGATTGGGTAGACATGGGAAAAGTTCCTAGAGTGTCAGAGTTTAGGGATGCGGGAGGTGAAAGGATGGATAAAGAGGGACTGTGAAGATTAGAGGAGGAAGTACCTGTGACGCCGCAGCATCACAGCTGGGGGAGCTCTCTTCGTGCAGGAGTGAGGAACAATCCGCGAAATCCTGCCAGTCAATCGTAGTCAGGGCTGGAAGAGGAAGTGAAGGGAGACATGGGTACAGATGCCCAGACTCTTATCTTCTCTAGACGGGCATCCTCCATCTCATCCTCCATCCCTCCTTTTCCTGCTTCCCGAGATTTAAAGGGACACTAGCCGAGGCCTTAGCGAGAGGAGACGGAGCTGGGGCATGTGTGGGATTGGGGACTAAAGGCTAGGCTAGTTGGACATAATCAGCATTCCAAGTCACATCCACCGGTTGGTAGGTTATTCGGACCTGGGGCGTCTTGCTCACCTGGCAAACCTGCCAGCTCCGCCTCCGGGGGGTCGGTGTAAACAGAGATGGGGCTGCTGCTCTCAAAGAGCTTCCGCGGGGGCACAAACTGAATTGGGAAAGAAACAGCGATGCCGGAAACTCTCTTGGACTCTAGTGGCAGACATTACTCATCCCATGCTCACCCCGACCCCCGACGACACCTGTACCTACCCCTAGATACCTGGGTATGCTCCCAGATGCCCCCTCCAGCCCCCCTCTCCGCACCTTCTTCTCCAACTTCTCCGGCTTCCTGAGCTGACGGCTGGAAAGATCCAGCATCCTGTTGGGACAGATATTGTCGAAGGCTCTCCGGGCCCCGAAGCCCCCGACTGAGCCGCCTCCGCAGTTCTGCATCCCGCTGTCTGGGTTTGCCTCCAGCTGCGAGGTATTCGTCCTTTTCCTGCACACTCGCCCGGAAGAGTGGGCGCCCTGACAGTCAGCTCTGCAAGCATCAATCTTGGGGTTGCAACTGGAGGCTCGGGAAACGGGTGCGTGGCGGGGAAAGTGAACCTTGAGAGGAGCAAGACAGGGAAGAGGCTAGAAGGGGGCTACAGCAGAGATAAGAAGGGGAGGGAGGGAGGACTTGCGAGGACTCTGAGTCGGGAGGGGCGGGTCTGGGCCTGGGCGCCAGAGGTGGCGCCTTCATCTCGGACAATCGGCACTCTGGAGGAGGCGTGAAAATTCAACCTGGCAACAGAGCTTCCCCCGGGAACCTGGGCAGTCGAAGCCCGGGCCGGCTAGCGCCGTTTCGGCAGGCGTTGGCGCCGCCCGCCAGGCCACGCAACTGCAGCCTGGCAGGAGGAGGGAGGGAAGAAGAAAGAGAGGAGGAGGAGGAGAGGGGAGAGAGAGGAGGAGAGGAAAGAGGGTGTGACAGACTGGATCCCCAAGCCCTAAACATTTAGTTGCCTGTGCTCCCCCTTGCCACAAACTTAGAGGGGCAAACTCAAACTGCGTGACAAAAAAGGTCTCAGTGAAAATTGGTTGTCTGTCCCACCCTGAGTCAACTTCGAAAACGAGCCTCGACGGGGAAAGTGCTGAATAAATGCAAAATTACAAAAATAAAGGTACCAAAACAAAGTTAGAGTCTTCTCCGCGCTATGACCAGCAAGGCTCTGTGTCTGGGGAGACCGATAGGCAGACAGGTAGACAGACAGAAATGTAAAAACATACACACCAACTTCCTCCTCAGGATTAGTTAAATTCGACTGAGGGAAAACTCTCCTTAGCACCAATAAGGTTCGTTTTCTCTCTCTCTCTCTCTCTCTCTCTCTCTCTCTCTCTCTCTCTCTCTCTCTCTCTCTCTCTCTCTCTCCTTCCCTCCCTCCCTCCCTTCCTTCCTTTCTTTCTTTTGCTTTTTTGTTGCTTTTTTTTTTTTTTGGTGAGGCAATCAGGGCTAAGTGACTTGCCCAAGCCCAGCTATTTAAAATAAGGTTCTTTCTAGTAGGACTCTCAAATCCGGAGACACTCCAGGGAAGGGTCCTCTAAATTACAAAAACCTATTTCCCAACCCCAGGGCCCATCAATCCTGACTCCCAGCTCCTCATGGCTCATTGCTCTTCCCATCACTGGATGAGCAGGTCACTCCTGTCTTTCCTGCCTCAGTTTCTCCATTTGGGCAAGAGGCAGGTGAAGATAGAGAAAAGAATTTGGACTGAGCCTGGGGTGCACTAAGCCTAGCAATAATGGGGACTAGAATAGCATGGCCAATGCAGATGAAAAATTTACAATTACTCAAAACCTCATTTTAGCCTGCCACAAGTTGATTCTGTTATTTAAAGTAGTAATTTTATAATTATGAAATTTTATATTTTATAAACTAGAATTTATAATTATAAAATTGAGTTTATTTTTTGCTTCTGCCCATCCATCTGAAAATATGCAAAGAAATAGTGAATTGGTCAAAATATAGGCGGAAAGAAGGATAAGGAGTTGGATGGAAGAAACAAAGCACTGGATGAATCCCAAGATGGATAAACAGCCTGAACAGCCCAAAAGAATGTGTTAGATAAAATTTCGCCATCATTACTGGTGCAGAGTGGTTGCAAGCAGTTCCTTTGGTTGCATGGTTGTTCCCAGATACTGTTTGGAAAGCATCTGCTCCCATTCTTCCCTCTTGGTGGGTTGTTTTAGGGGAGAGAGGAGGCAGCCTGGAGAGCCCTTTGCTAGGATGAAGACTAGGAGAGAGGGATCCCTGAAGAGGTGAGACACTACCTGTAACACTTTCAGCATGTCACTTCTCTTTGGAAGTCAAGTTCACCCCAAGTACAATTAGTGGACTGGACTAGAGGGCCCCTTCTGAGGAGGGACAGGGAAGGACTAAACACCCAGTAGATCCTATAATTACAGATTTGGAGCTGGAAGGGAGCTTAGAGGCCACAGAGTCTAACCCCCTTGTTTTATAGATAGGGAGAGAGAGGTTGAGTGATTTGTCCGTGAACGTACACTTGGTATCAAATGGTAAGGGTTTATGACTTCTATGACACCAACACCTTTCCCAGAAAAGCTCCTGGTTTCTGAGAAGAATCATAAGACCTTAGATTTAGAACTGGAAGGGACCTTTAAAGCCATCAAGTCCAACCACCTCCCATTTTACAGATGAGAAAAGTGAGTCACAAAGAGAAACCAAATTTTCTATGTCTATGCTTTAACTTTAGAGACAGAGTGAATGAGGACAGACTTCTGAAAACAGTGGTTTTCTTTGAGTGTGCATATCCCCCAGCAACAGATCCACATGGGAGCACTTTCTGAGTGGCAAACTTTTTTAAAATTGTCAGGGTTAAGAGCAGCCCACTACCAGAAACTATTGTGTTTCTTGATTGTTTTCCCACGTATAAAATGTTCTAATACAACTTAGAATGCAAACTTCTCACTGTGTCCTGACTCCTGTGTAAAAGAGATCAAGTATATATTTGCAAATCTTAAAGTGCTATGTTAAACTGTTGTATGTTATGCCTATTGCTTAGTGGGCTCTCAATAAATATTTTGTCCTATACTTACTGCAGAAGAGTACATTTTTATTTATGATTTATTTCTGTTATTGAAAGATATGGATATGGAGTAGTAATATTGAGCTTGGTGTGGGAAAGACCTGAGTTTAAATCCTGTCTACAGCACTTACTCCTTTTCTGACAACTTCAGCATTAAGACAACTTCCTAGGACTTTTCATTTAAGAATGTCATAGACTTGCTGGCCCAGCATATGAATTCACAGATCTTTTCTTATCATCATCATTTATATAGTGCCTATTACATGCCCAGCACTGTGCTAACTGCTTTACAAATACTATGTCATTTGATTTTCACAACAAACCTGGGAAGTAGGAGCTATTAATATTGTGGGTATTGTGTGAGTGAATATAGAATTTATTGCCTTCAATCATGCAGTCTTATTCATTGGACAAGTTCATGATTTGTAGCATACCATAAAGATTTTATTTTCCTTATGATGTCACTTCTAAGAACAATTCAACCTCTTTTTTGCACCTAGTTTTTTCCACTTATAAAGAAAGTAGCTTGTAAATCTCAAAGCTCTGAAGAATGTAATTGTGTAGATGAGAAGTTTGATTTTCAAACTCCACTAGAAATATTAGCTATTATTCTACAAACATATATTTAAGGTCTAAAATCCACTAATGCCTAGGCATGAGGGAAGAGAATCTTAGCAAGCAAGGTCAGAGGAAAATGGTTCAAACATGTGAAAGATGTTTGTGGAGGGGGGGGGAGCTGGCAGGGAGCAGTTGCCAAAGTAGAGACCTTTCTGTAAGGTCTAGTTTCCCAAGGCTTTTTCTGTGGGGTATCCCTCTTCAAAACAAGGCAATGCAACAACAGGGTTTCCATTTAGTTCCACACCTATTCTTTGCACATCTTCTCAGAAGTGGCTTGGGCCTTGGCTGCTTGTCCACTCACCAGCTGGATCTGTTGCAATGGAAAGAGTAATGGATTTGGAATCAAAGGAACTTGGATTGAATACTAACTTCACTTATATCACCTATGTGAAATGCTCTAGGGCTCAGTTTCCCCTTACTTAAAGTCAGAGGGGTGAACTAGACTAGAACTGGACTCTAAGGCCTCTTTCAAGCTATGTCTTTGCTCCCATTTTTAGCAGGGGCCAGAGAACCCCGGCTTCACTACTATCAGGGTAGCCTGGGAAACGTGGCACTTGCTGAGTTCCCCAGAATTTTCTCTCGATTAACACCACCCATCCTGATGCTCTCCTGACTCTTCATCCCTTAAGCTTCTCCCCTGGACCCCAGGACTTCGTTCTTTCCTCTTCAAAGGGCCCAGTGCCTCTGACTCTTTGCACAAGTTTAAGAAGCTGTAGATTGGACACGAAGGAGTGGTTTTTGAATCCTATTAGACCAAAAGTTATCCTTCTGTCCTCACAGCTGCTTGTCTCCTCTCCTTCCCTTGTGTGTTTCTGGGAAAGTGAAGGTGGTGGGGAGGAGTGGGATTCAAATGAACGTTTGCAGATCGCCCTCACCGGGCCCCGACTCCCGACCCCATCCTAATGTAGGAAACAAGGTACAAAAGGCAGATATTTGTTTTCAGAGATTGTTCCAGTCTCAGGGAGACTTTAGAACAAACAAAAACCTGAACATAAAACCCCAGGAAGACATTTTTAAACAGTGGGGTTGCTTTGAGTGGGGAGGGGCGTTTTTTTCTAGTGTGTTGAGGGGAGTGACTAGGAAATTCCCTAACTAGCCTAGAAGCAGGAGAGATTTGACAGGCCCTCTCACCTCATGGCCAATACATTTTCTAGTCTGTTTGTCTAGCTCGTGTTTGGGGCTTTTTCTCTGGGCTTTGCTCTTTTCTCTCTGAATCCTAGAGCCGCTTTCTCCAGGCGCGGGCACCCTTTTCTCTTCCAGGTATCTTTTAAATGCTGTCTTTCCTCATTTGAATGTAAACTCCTCTCACCTATATTAGCATCCCCAAAAAGCGCTTATGAGCTCTATATGTGTCTACAAACAGTCCCTTCATAGCCAATTCATATCTCTCGCCTCCGAGTTTCCTACAGTGAAAATTCTTCTCTGGGAGGAACAAGACCGGCAGGCCTAAATGGTTCTCCCCCAAAATGATTCATTTCGTTCCCATCCCTTCCCCCTTGGCCCCACCCCCACCCTTACGCCCCAGCCACTGCGGACGCAAATCGCCAGGAAATATCACGCAGACAAACCTCAACCGCGGACCACGGATTGGCTAAGGATTTGACATTTATTGGGTTGGGGAACTATTTGTTTTCCTAGTGACTCTTAATTGTCCACTAGATTAAATAAATAAACAGTGATACGATTGTCTCACATCGTCTGCCAGTGCAAGTGAACATGTGCAGGATGGCAAGGGTCTGTTGTTTGTGAGCTAGACTGTCCCTGCTTCATTAGTCACCCAAATACGAGGCCGCAGGAACCAAATCTCCCTACCACCCTTAAGCCAATACTGCTCTTTTTCTGAGGTATAAAGAGAAAGAAATACAGTCATATCGGTGATGCATTACGTTTAGCACTCGCTATCGCTCGCTTTGCTGGAAGAGAGGGAAGAGCCGGACCCTGCTGGTAGACTCTCTAGCTTTAACTCCGTTTCGGAAGATTTGCATTTCTCCGAGACCGGCGGGGGCAAGATATGGGGTAAAGCGTCTCTATTCAAAGACACCAATAGCTGCAGCTTCCCCAGGCAGTCCTGCAGCTCCGCTTCCGGGTAATTGCTTATGTGCAGGTCCAGAGGTTTTCGATGTCTGAGCATGTGGTCTGCCAGCCCCAGACAGCAGATGGCCAGGAGGGAAGGGGTGTACCTGGTGAAGGCGTAATCGGCCAGGCTCAGCTGCGCCACCCCCTTGGCCAAAGCATGGGCATCTGCAGCATCGCTGAGTTCTGCCTCCCGGGAAGCCACCCGGAAGTGGGTGAAGTGCTCCAGAAAGAAGGCAATGGTGGGCGCATCGAGGCTGAAGTGTAGTTTGTGCAGCACAACACACTCCAGATTGCAGAGCTGCTGGCGAGTGAAGGCGCCGCCGCAAAGAGACAGGAGCTGCTTCACCCGAGGCGGGTGCACCTCTACCTGTATAAAACACCAACGCCACACTGGGTGAGGAGGGGCGAGGATAACAAGGGGGACGTTCTGACTTCAAGAATCTGTAGTCCTGCAGGGGAGAGAGGTGTACTGCAGTCCTTCTATTGCAAACCCTCCTTGTTCAGGAGCAGTGGTGAAAAAACAGGTATCCTGCATCCCCTCTTTCCCTTTGGCCAATCAAGTAATGAACATATCAGACTTGGTTGTTTGTCTTGGGGTGACTTATAACAAAGCCTATACCAAAGTCATTGAAGACTGTTCATTTGTGGTTTTCTTGGCATAGATACTAGAGTGGTTTGTCTTCTCCCGCTCTTTTGACAGAGGAGGAAACTGAGGCGAACAGGGTTAAATGACTTGCTCAGGGTCACAGATCTAGGAGGTGTCTGAGGTCGAATTTGCACTCAGGTCGGTCCTGACTTTAGGCTCCGGCACTCTTTCCACTGCGCCACCTAGCTGCCCTTCCAGCTTGGTAGGGCCATAGATGAAGAATTGTAAGGGATCTAACAGGTCACCTAATCTTATCAATCAATCCACTAACACTCGGTAAATTCCAGCTAAGTGCTGGCAATGTGTTGGGGCGTTCTGTTAAAGTCTTAACTAGATTCTAACTAGTCTAAACTCCTCACCTAATCTGATCTTCGGCAGAGGAGGAAGCTAAGAACAGCGAGGTAAAGCCACAAGCTGGAGGTACCCCAGCGTGGATCTGGACCTGCCAGAGTTCAGCACCTGCACCATCACGTTAGTGCAGTACAAGTCCCAGGAGCACTGTGAGGGGGAATATAGGAAGAGAAACGGTCATACCTCCACATTTTTCCGTCTTCCCCTTCTACTCTTCGCCCCTTTCAAACTTAAGGCTCAAAGTGATGGACATTGCACAGGGCTCAGAGTCAGAAGACCACAGTTTGAGTACTGTCTCCTCACTCCTCACTAGCTGTGTGTGTGTGACTTTGAAGAAGTCACTTGCCCTTTTCTTTGCCTCAGTTTCCTCATCTCTATAATGACCTCACAAAACTGTTGAGAGGAATGTATCGTAAGCCTCGAAGTACTATATAAACTCGAGTTGTTACTAAGAAGTTGCGGTCTTCCCTCACTTAAAGCACTGTTTCTCCAACTGGACAGTCTTGTCCCTGTAACTAGATTGGACGATGCTCTCACAGCAGTTGCGTAGCCTGCAGAGACAAAAGGCTGATGCCACTGTAAGCGGTGGTGGTGACGTGGACCTAACGCTTTCCTTTTATTGGGAAGAGAGGGTAGGAAAGTTGCATGACTGAGAAATAAGAGGCTGCAAGATAGGGGGAAACCTTTTTTTTTTAACCCCATCGTTTTGCTTAGTCTTGAACGGGGCCAGGATTCAGAAAAGTAATTCCCAATCTTACGGGCATTAGGACATCAGAAATTCTGGCTTGGACAGAGGTGGACCAGCAGAGATCCGGAGCCTTCTCCAGGAGTTCAGCGGGATGTGTAGGTACGTACCTGCTTGCAAGCGATGAGCAGTGAAGTGACTCCCAGGAGCTGGAAGCAATCGGCAGCCACTGGGGTGGTGGTGAGGAAGCGGTCCAAGATGTTCACCGCCAGGCACAGCGACTCGAAGGTGAAGCCGAATTGCCGGTGCACAGGGATCAACCAGCTGAGCAGTTTACAACGGGATTCTGCTGTCACCTGTTAGGAAGCAGAACACGGAAATGCCTCAGAGAGCCAGGGGAACAGCTTGTGGGAAAGGGTAGGTAGGAGCTGCCTTCTCCTTCTGCAGGAAGGGACTAGGAAAAACCCAGTGAGTTTCCAGGGTCTAGTAATGCTGGCTAAATCACAATTCTAAATGCACGTCCCAGAGACAGCGCGATGAGGAAGAAAGAAAAGAGACGGATGGAGAACGGGGATGCAGAACCTCCTCAGTCCACATCTGTCTCCTCTGCTTGGGCAATACCTTCACAGTTGGGAGCGCAGATGAGAGAGGGACGCGGGTGGGAAGGTCTTCGGAAAAACGAGACGTGAATGGGCTGACTGGGGGCGGCGAGGAACGCAGCTGCGGGCTCGACGTGAAGAGAAGAGACTAAAAGTGAGGCAGAGACTGCCCAGGAAGGGGAGGATAGGGGAGGAAAGAAGTAAAGAGCAGAGAAGAGGGGGGCTCGCAGGACCAGAGGGGGAAGGAGAGCACCGTGGAGGCGCTGGGAATGAGTGGAGGACGCCTCACTTGGGGCTGCTTCGCCAGGGACTCGCGCGGCTGGAATTGGCTCTCCAGCCCCTTGCGGAAGGCGTAGCAGCTCTGCCCGTAATCTCGGAAGATCTGCAGGTCCAGCGGGCTGCTCAGAAGTCCCGGGTAGGCAGGCTGGCTGCAGCGCGGGTCTCGGTGAGCTGGGCTGTGGGTGTCACTCGAGCCGGAGCCGCAGCTGGAGCCGGAGCTGGAGTTAGAACTAGAGGGAGATTCCAACAGATCGCACACGCCTGAGTCGCCCGAAAACGCACGCGGGAGCCGACGCGGGAGCGGGCGGAGCTGCAGGGGCTGCTGCCTCTGGTATCGTGGACTCTTGCGCTTCTTCACCGGGGCGCGAGAGTTTTCGATGCCTATTGGAGACTCACAGCGATTTACGGGGCTGTCGGGACTCGAGGGGCTCGGGAAGTTGAGCAGTATGGGGATCATAGCTGCTTCTGCAGCAGACGTGCTATCGCTCGGGGCCTCAGCTGCAGCAAGGCTGTCGCGCGCGCGCGTGGCGGAGGCTATGACCGCAGCGGGCGCAGACTAAGTACCTTCCCTGCCCCTTTCCTTCTGTCCGCCCCCACCGCCCCGCCCCGCCCCTCTCAGTGGTTGAGCCCGCAGCCGGCGCGAGAGCCGCGTTTTCCCGGTTAAAGAACCGCTCCAGGGACTGAGCAGTTGGCCAAGGCGCAAACACCGCCACTGAGCCCCGGGAAGGGAAAGCTGCTAGGGGTGGGGGGAGGGGAGCGCTTCAGCCTGCGCCTGAGCATCTTTGCGTTACCTCAGTAACCACAGGGCCCTAGGGTGCGGATACTCAACATTGGAAGTTCTGGGCCAGAACCTGGCCTGCAATTGCAGGGAGAGGGCCAGAATCTGGACACCCCTCAGTTTTGAGTGTGGAGCATAAGAAAGGCCAGGTTGACTTCTGTTGTACGGTGGGACCTGCTCACCTAGAAGGAAAAATACCTTTCCCTCTTTTCCTGCTCCTTGGCCCAACCTGTTTACACAGGCAAACATCTGAGCTAGCATCTTCTACATTAGAATTATTCTAGAATATTGTAATATTCCAACTGGGGCTCCAGCCACTTGTTGGATTTTTTTCTCACCGTTATTTGTGCTGTGTTTTTGTTTCCGTTTTTTTTTTTAAACTATCTCACTAGATGTAATTTAATAAAGCTCTTCACAGCCTGGCCCCTTTCTATCCTGTATCTTATACATTATTCCCCTTCATGAACTCTACAATCCAGTCACGCTGACCTAATTGTTGTTCCTCAGCCAAGATGCTTATCTCCTGTCTCTATACTGTTGCACTGATCATTCCCTCTCTCTGACGCCCACCCCGACTCCGTGCCAGTAATGCTTGCCCTCCTCATTTTGCCTCGTAAGATTTCTGGCTTCCTTCAAGTCTCAGCTCGGGAGGAAACACTTCCCTTCAATTAATCTTCATATTACATGGACTGAAAGACCTTCGCCTTTTCAGTTGCCAGAAAGACCCGAATTCAAGTTCTGGCTCAGACCCAGACTAGCTGGGTGACTTTGGAGCAAGTCACAACCTCTCTGTGTGCTAGACAGCTTTCCTAAGATCAGAAGTAATGGAGCAGCTACTTGGCACAGTGGATAGAGCACCGGCCCTGGATTCAGGACGACCTGAGTTCAAATCGGGCCTCAGACATTTAACATTTACTAGCTGTGTGACCCTGAGCAAGTCACTTAACCCCATTGCCTAACCCCCCCCAAAAAAAGATCATAAGTAGTAGAGAGGATGCTGAGTCATACTGGCTGAGGGAGTCCACTTGGGAGTCCCCAGTACCATTGAAATCACAGGCCTAGTCCCTCCCAGCTGTGTCATCTGTAAATTTGACATGTAAACAACCTCTACCTTTATTCAAATCATGGATAAAAAGGTAAAAATAGCACAACACCAAGCACAAATTCCCCAAGGTACTCCACTGGAGACCTACCACATTGATATTGAATAAATATTCTTTGGATCCCATCAGCCAACAGTTAGGAATCCAACTGATTGTACTATTATCTAATATGGATTAGATAATAGATCTTGCCATTTTCTCCACATGAATTATATGAAAGTTTATCCAAATCTTTGTTAAAATATAGGTCAACTGTGTCCACAGTATTCCCTTCAATTGTTCAGTCAAGACTCTTCAAGACCCCATTTGGGGTTTTCTTGACAAAAGATACTGGAGTAGTTTGCTGTTTCCTCCTCCAGCTCATTTCACAGATGAGAAAACTGAGGCAAACAGGGGTTAAGTGACTTGCTCAGGGACACACAGCTAGGAAGCATTTGAGGCCAGATTTGAACTCAAGGAAGTGAGTCTTCCTGACTCAAGGCCCAGTGCACTGTCTGCTGTGCCATATTATTGCCCATTCCCCTCATTTACTAGTATAGTAATCTGGTCAGAAAAGGAAATGAGATTAATCTGGCACCATTTGTTTTTGATTAAGCGACATTGGTTCTTTGTAATCTCTGATGCTCTTTCTAGATATTTGCCAACTATTTCTTTAAAGATCCTTCCCAGGAATGAAAGTCAGGCTCACTTGCCTTTTATTTTTTGATTCTGCTTTCTTCTCTTAAAAAAAAATTCAGGACAACTGACCTTCTCAGATCTCATGGCACCTCTTTCATCTTTCATTAATCTTTTAAATGTCCCAACAGTGACTCAGCAAACCTGTCTGCAGATCCTTTCCCTATCTCAAAAGGTAATTCATCGGGACTTGAATTTATCAAGGGCAGCAACATACTCTCTTACTATCTCCTTATGTATCTTCAACACTGATTCCCTGTTAGTCATTTTTGTTCACTAAATCCAAGCTCCTTTGAGGGCAGGGATGGTCTTTTGCCGCTTTTTGTATCCCCAGTGTTTAGCAGAGTGCTTAGCACATAGTAGGCATTTAATAAATGTAGGTTGAGGGGCAGCTAGGTGGTGCACCCGACCCTGGATTCAAGAGTACCTGAGTTCAAATCCAGCCTCAGACACTTGACACTTACTAGCTGTGTGACCCTGGGCAAGTCACTTAACCCCACTAGCCAAAAATAAATAAATAATAAATGCAGGTTGATTGAGTGATTCTGTCATTTTCCAGTGTAAAGCTCATTCCTGTACAGAGAAATCAGAAACAAATAAAAACTGAGCAGTTTCGTCTTTTCTCTGCTTTTAGTTACCGATGTCCAATCATATCCCTTCTCTCCCAATATAGCTTTTTAAAATCCCAAGCATCCCTTTTTGTTGTCCTTTGCTTGACAGTCTCAGCTCAGAGATTTAATAATAATAGTTAACATTTGTATATCAATTACTATGTACTAGATGCTTTATAATTATTTCTTTTGAACCTCACAACAAACCCTGGGAGGTGGGTGCTATTATTATCCCCATTTTACAGATAAGGAAACTAAAGTTAAATGACTTGCCCAGGGTCACCCAGCTAGTAAAAGTGTCTGAGGCTGGATTTGTACTCCAATCTTCCTGACTCCAGGCCCAGAACTTACTCCACTGCACCACCTAAATTCAACACTCCTAACTCTATTTGTACAGGACCATGCTACACTTGTATTCATTTTTGCTACCTGGCCTTTCTCCCACTTTTTTTACATTTCTTTTAAAAATCTGATGTAGTTTCTCTGCTTGATAAATTGCCAAAGGATATGAACAGACAGTTTTCAAAGGAAGAAATTCAAACCATCCATATCCATATTTTTAAAGCCCCAAACTTATAAAAATTAAAGAAATGCAAACTGAAGCAACTCTAAGGTTTCTCACATATTGGCAAAGTTGACCCCCCCAAAATGATAAATATTGGCATGGCTTCTGGAAAACAGATATGCTAGTGCATTGTTGGTGAAGCTATGAATTTGTCCAGTCATTCTGGAAAACATTTTGCAATTGTGCCCCAAAGGGGCAGCTAGGTGGCACAGTGGATAGAGTAGCAGCCCAGAAATCAGGAAGACCTGAGTTCAAATCTGACCTCAGACCAAACACTTGTCACTTACTAGCTGTGTGACCCTGGGCAAGTCACTTTACCCCAATTGCCTGTTAAAAAACAAAACAAAAAAAAACCAAGCAAATGTGCTCCCAAAAGTTATTACACTATACATACCTTTTGATATAGTAACACCAGGGTTATACCCTAAAGAAATCAAAGAAAGAGGGAAAAGATCCGTATGTACTAAAATATTAATAGGGGCTGTCTTTGTAGTAACAAAGGACTGGAAACTAAGAGGGTATCCATCAATTGGGAAATGGCTAAACAAATTATGATATATGGATATAATGAAATACTATGGTGCCATAACAAAATGATTTCAGAAAAATATGAGAAGACTTATATAAACTCACGCAAAGTAGAGCAGAACCAAGAGAACAATTTGTACAATAACAACATTGAATAGAAAAGAAAAATGACCAAAAAAGAAAAAAAAATGACTTTGAAAGACTAAAGAACTTTGACAGGTAATGAACTCAATATACAGAATGAGACATGGGCTTCTTTTTTTTAATATGACAAATGTATGATTTTATTTTGCTTAACTATTCCTATTTGTTACAAAGATTTTTCTTTTTTCCCCCTAATGTTGGGGTGAGAAGGAGAAGGGAAAATGCTTGTTAATTGAAAAGTAAGATAAAAATTTATCACCACCCCCTAGATATATAGTCTTCCTATCCTACCCTTTTTAGTTTAAAGCCCTTTTAATTAAATATGCAAAACAACCAACAAATACATTTTTACCTGCCTTTGTTTGAGTCCTCCATCTCTTACCAGGAATCTACCAACCTTATACTATAGGTCATGATCCAGAAATCCAATTCTTTGTTTAGATATCTTCTTCTTAACCAGAAGTTCATTTACTAAATTAATCCCCACCCCTAATTAAACCTATATGTGGTGGCGCATTAAAAACTAATTTATATTAAACTCATGGGATCACAGATTTGGAGGATAATTGGAAGGGATCTAAGACATCATTTTATCCACCTTACCACTCCTCTGTTTTACAAATGAAGAAACTGAGACACAAAGGGGTTAAATGGCATACTCTTAGTTACACAGATAAGATGTCAGAGCCAAGACTAGAACTTGGGTCATTCGACTCCAAATCCAACATGCTTTCTACTGCAACCTATTTTCTTTTCTTTCTTTCTTTCTTTCTTTTTTTTGATTATACAATGGGTTAAGTGACTTGCCCAGGGTCACAAAGCTAGTAAGTGTTATGTGTCTGAGGCCAGATTTGAACTCAGGACCTCCTAACTCCAGAGCTGGTGCTCTATCTACTGCGCCAGCTAACTGACCTTGCAACCCATTTTCTTCTATCCTGAAGGGAATAAAAACTCCATGATCCAGTACCTCTGTAGAGTATATATGTTGTACAAAAGTGCTTAATAAATGACATGTTCAGCACTGTCAGGAACCTACTCACAACACCTGTAGTGTTTTCACCAGTCTTTCCAATATTGAATGAATGAAAGTTCAGTGCAACAACAAGGCTATAGCTGATAACTATGACTATT